CCACGTGGAGCAGATTACGGACGGCCTAGCTCTCTATGCATGGCGCAACTATACGTAATCGTTCATCTTCACTACAGCCATTCATTGATTTTGACAATTTGACCACTTTACAAAAACTTGCTAAAACTTATTTAAAAAATAACCCTTTTGTTCAGCGTCAAATCGTGTGACGCTGAATTTAGACACCTCAACGCCAAATAGCACAGAGCTGAATGTACGTTGGCACGATGACTCAGCCTTTCATCCACGGTGGCACGGCATTCAACGCCAGGTGACGTGGCGCTGAGGTGTCTAAGTTCAGCGCTCGATTTGGCGCTGAAAAAAAGGGTCACTTTTAAAATAAGTTTTGGCGATGGTTCATTTGTAAAATTAGTTTTTGCAAAGGGTCAAATTGTCAAAATTAATGACAGCCATCAGAGCAAGTTCAATAGTATAGCCAACTATTGACTCCAAATCATCTATAGTCAATTTAATAGTTAATTCACACAATAATTATCTATAAATATATACTATACTATTAACACATGGTTCTACCTGTCATACTGATCACATTGTATCTTGTAGTCTGTGCTACCGTTGGCTACAGTAGCTTGCTGCTCCTTTCTCTCCTATTTTATCTTCTCGACATGTGTTTATAGCTAGCTTACAATCTACTATTGTATCTGCTCTTATTTGCATGACTACTCATCGTTGAGATCCATCTCAACATCTGTATATATCGTATGCACTAATGCATGTTCTTATTAACGAACCATTCGTCACGAAGGTTTCATATTAATATAGTATAGAAAATTATGTAACCCAACAGACTATGTGATGAAGATATTGTTATTTTACTATATGTCGGAAGAAAACTAGAGAAAAAAACTTGGGAATTTTTAGCCATCAGATCCACCTATCAAACTCGCGATGCCAGTGGAGCGTGGGGGCATGCTCATCCAGTGTGCTACATCTCGGGTTTTGATTTATATGAAGATTACATCCAATTTATATTATAGTTACATCGCTACTACACTACAATTGAACCATCTCCTTGACATCACAACCCCATGATATCTTATTGTTCGACCCTGTTGGCACATAAACTCCACCTTCTTTGGTGCCCCTTCGCCGACCAACCCCCGTCCGCCCAAGATGGGTGTCACAAGGGCCTTCCGCTCCTGTCGACACCGCACTCTCATTATAGAGCTACCCACATGACTGGATTTAGGATCTGACCTATCATTGAAGAGAGACATTGATGCATGCTGATGTTTTTTAGCTACAATAATCTCCATCTTAAAATATAAGGGATTTTGCTTATATATATGTAACTATATGGCGAAAATCTCTTATAGTTTAGAAAGAAGGTAGTAGCTTATGTAATGAGAAGATTAATTTATATGTGGCATGCATTTCAAGACAAAGGCAAAACATAATACTATATATATATATATATATATATATATATATATATATATATATATATATATATGAGTTAATTGTATTTTGATCCACTTCTTAATAACAAAGTTTTACTTTGCACCACCCTCTAGCTAATATTAATTTTCACCTTCGACCGTATAAGTTATCTTTGTTGCCCTTTGAATCAATGCAAATCATTTCTCTAGATGCATCTAGTTATCTACCTTCTAATTTTACAAAGAATATCCTACATGTAAGATTGCAAGTTTACGGATGCTGATGTGGTTAAAATCGCTGATTGATATGCTCAAGAAAAAAAGTTTGGATGGTTTAAAGTAAATTAAATCAAAGGCAAAATAACCTAGTTTAAAATGAAAAGATAGACTAAAGAGCGGTCCAAGAGAATTTTGGTAATAAGAGATGGACGTAATTTACTCTGTATATGTTGATCGTGCAGATCGATGGAGTCACAGGAGGCACGTACTGCAGCTCTAGTAAAACTGTAGCTTGGATGGATGATCCATACGAGTAGTAGCAGTTTAACGTACTACAGTAGAAGATGCAGAAGCTAGCTGCCGTGTTTGGGCCCATACAACAGGGTCGCTGGCTGCAACCTCACCGTGTGCAGATGCAGAGGCTGCTCGCTCACTGCTGCCTGCAGCTTGCATTGGCCATCCCGTGACGCCCAAAGGCAGCCACGTTTCGTCAATCATCGCTGCTTTACTGCTGGCTACTGCTCCCTCAATTCCTAAATAGATAGGGCAAGTATAATAGTAGCCTATAAACCCGTTGAATGCTGAGGTAAATGGAGAGAAGAGGAGAGAGAAGAAGCGGGCTGTAAATTAACTTATAGCCGGATTGGACTCAAGAACTAAGAAACTCTGTGAGAGACACAAGTGGACCTTGTATTAATTGTAAAGAGCTAACTATTATATGGGTAGGCTAAGAAAAGTCTATAAAGAACCTTATAGCCAACAGATCGACTATATTATTAGCCTTGCTCTTAGAGTGTAAGCATTTCTTGTTAAAAGAGAGAAGATTTTCTTTTAGTAATAACTTTACTGGTCAATTTTTTAATTTTAAATTATATGGATCCCTCGTCTAAGCACCTGATTGGCTTAAAAATACTTTGTATTCCCGCGACGAGTAAGCACTGTAAAGTATTTATATTGTAATATGAATTTTAAATGTTAAGGGCTCCTTTCACACGTAGGATTAAAAAAAAGTTATATACACAGAATTAGAATCTTGATAGAAATATAAATGTAAAATATAGGATTGCAAAAAAAAAAAAACAAGAATAGTTGTTTAATTAGACAGCACGAAAAACAAAAGATAAATAAGATAGAAAAACTTGAATAAAATTCTTTATTAAGTTAGAGCTCTTGCTAACTTTTTTTTTTCAAAATCACTATAAGATTATTGTTCATTTTATAGGAATTTTAAAGAAAAGGATATGCTTTAAGTCTTCGTTTTAAAGACCTTCTTCTGAATTTTTATATATGATTGAAGTCCTTCAAAATTTTAATGTTTTTCCTACAAACTATATAAATGGGCCTAAGTTGTTATATTTTTGTAACAAATGGGCCTAGAGAGACGCACGTAGCAGATTTATCAAACATTGAAGTCGTTAATTAATGTATTAATAAGAAGGATATAGTGGTGATGCAGGGGCAATAAGATGCATTATACTCCTACTAAGTAAACCAGTTTCATTATCTTAAAAGTGATGTACTAGAGAGGTCGGGAGAGGCGACGCCACGCTGGCGGCCATGCAAGGACGTCACGTCGTGGAGATACTCTACTTCGCTCAAAATATAACTATCTACTAGATCTGAAAATATCATTAATTAATACTATATAAATCATAACAGATTTAAATATAGCAATAGTATGAGATGCTATATTTTGGAACTGTGGGAATAGCATATGTAATATTATACTATACGAGATCAGTCCGTCACTGTATAATTGCATTTCTAGCACTTTAGTTTTGTTAAAGAAATAAGTGTATTTCTAAAGTGCTGCATATCCCATTAATCACTTATTAAAATTTCTTCTCATCTTACTCGAACTAACATACATTTTCAACTACTATACTAATTTGTGCTTCTTATGCTAGAAATGTACTACTTACTTAGGAACGGAGGTAAACGGAGGTAATATGTATCTAGATCCCTGTTGGTTGCCTATAGCTCGTAATGGTTTATTACTGATATAAAATAATTTGTAGGTAAAACTTTTATATATACGTTCTTAGTAACTTAACCAATCTAAAATAACTACGTTGAGCAAACATCAAAATCAGCTTTAGAATCTTTAAAACTAAAATTTAAAGTTTAAAATTCAGCTGCGGTTTATAAGCCATAGGCAATGAGGCCGGTAGAATTGCTCTGCCATAAAATGGCAGCACGCGCGGCGCGAACAAGCCTCCCATCTAGCTAACCTTTCATCTGAATTTGCGTCAGTCCATCGACACCTATGAGTTTCACTTTCAAAAACCAATACTCCTATGTACTAAGCGAAAACTGTTTAGTTCAAAATGTTTTTATCCTTAGAAAGAACTATATACAACACAAAATATATATATAAAAAAAATGATTGTTGCTTACTACTAGTAGGAGTTGGCTGTCTTATTTGAAGATGCCGGGGAGGCGAATGGGACATCACTAAGCCCAGCCGTGAGCCGTGTGTACCTTACCTGCTGCAAAGAAAGAAAGAAAGAAAGAAGAGAGAGAGAGGAAGAAGAGACTGGTGCATCATCATGGTCGATCACGATCTATGATACGCTGGGCACAAGGCTGCATCATCGCCCGTTCGCTCGCAGAATCTGCCTTTTCTCTTTTGCCCCCCTTTTTCTGCACCCTTTTTACAACACCAGAATGAAATTTGACGGCAACTACTACTAGTAGTAGCTTTTGCTTGCATCAGTTCAGTCATCATCGCTCAGATCAAATCAATCAACGGACGGCCGATCTATCGGAAGAACCTAAAGTCCAAAGCTCTGTTCAATTTAATGATGAGATACCTACGGATGCCTAGAAACCCAAGCCAACAAGATCGGCCATGGCCATGGGGGGCGGGACGACGACACCAGCTACAATCTCTTCTTCTGCTTTGCCACTGTTGCTCCCTGCCTCTGCCTGTCACACACTCAGGCAGGCCCATTCCAAAACCAACATAACACCAACAGACATACTCCATATATGGCTTTTAATACTGTACTAGTAGATTAACTCACATGATCCATTCGGTTCCATCATCCAATCCAACAACAAAAAACCACAAACGCCGTCACATGCATCGATCTTGCAAAGTTGCAATCTCACTTCTCTGGCTGGATTCCATTCCATGGCATCAGACACAATGATGATGCAGGGGCTGCAGGACCGGCACATCAAAGCCTTTTGTCTTCTCATATGTACACACCCACGTTTTTTCACCACCGCACTTTTACTTACATCAAACTTACCGCGCTGTCCTCCAGGTGAATATTCCAGCTTTCACCTTTCAAGGATGCGCATTATGGCCCATGTCAAATAATAGCCACGTAGCAGCTACTGCCACTCTGCCCCCCACGATTTCAAACACTCCAATAAAGGTGCCAAAATAAGACATACCAGTCGTACTTAAAATCATTCCAGATTACAGACTAGGGGCTGTTTGGTTTCCAGAGACTTATTCTAAGTCCCTGTCACATCGGATGTTTGGACACTAATTTGGAGTATTAAACATACACTAATTACATAACCCATTTCATAAGCTTGGACTAATTCGCGAGACGAATCTTTTGAGTCTAATTACGCCATGATTTTGACAATGTGATGCTACAGTAAACTTTTGATAATTATGGATTAATTAGGCTTAAAAAATTCGTCTCGCGGATTAGCTCTCATTTATGAAATTAGTTTTTTTATTAGTCCATGTTTAATACTCTAAATTAGCGTCCAAACATCCGATGTGACATGGGTTAAAAAGTTTTAGCCCCATCTAAACACCCCCGTCTATAGGTACCCCATACAACAACGTTCATTAAATCCAGGAATGCATCTTTCAAATAGTACAAAGCTACAGCAATCTAACATTCATCAGGGCTAACAGGAACAGCACGTTTTCCAGCTTGGAATTCAGGTATCTAATGCAACAAGAGCCAAGGGAGCAACCTTACCTGTCATAGCCACCACCACCGGCTTGGCGTCCATAGCCTCTCTCAGGCATCCGGTAGGGAGAATACGGCAATGATCTAGATCGCTCCCTCCGGGCCCTGCCACCGCCATAAGGAGGAGATCTATGTGGGGAGTATCCCCTGCCTCCCCTTCCGTCGTAGTAATCTCGAGCATCCCTGTGGGGGGAGTAGTCCCTTGTGTCCCTGTATGGAGGGTAGTCCCTTGTGTCCCTGTAGGATGGGTACATTGGAGGCGGAGACCTGCGGTAGCTATTGCCGTAGTACTCATCACGGCCATAGCCACCTCCTCTGCTGCGGTATCTCCCACGTGGCTCTCTACGGTCATATCGATGACCTGTAAAGGTAACACCTCAAGTTGAAAAACATAAAGCACAAGAGGGACCAGCACAAAAGAAAAAGGGAAATTTAAACAGGACAGTGCAAAACACTAGTATTGCATATTTACAGAGTTATGCAGCAAGTTTCAGCTCCTTTACAATTTACATACCAAGATAGCTTCCAGGAGTTGGCGTCCTTGGGCGACCTCGACGTGACTGAAATAAAACAGAAATCCATTAGCACAAAGTCGAGGGTCCAAACTAGGATATGAGAAGTGTCAGTCTGGATTGTGTAGGTAATTACAAGTTCCTCTTACGATCAATCAACATATGCCGCAATTACGGACCAATGGAGGAAATATGTAATGAAGAGCGCAAACTCCAACTAGCAGGGATCCAATATTTGCTATGCGTACGTCACCACACATGCTTGTCTAACGAGTTGTGAATGCCCGTTGATTAGTTGATGTTGGAAGTTGAAGATGAATGCTCAGGGGTTTAGTTGAAAATTTGCTATGTTTAGTTGTGAATCTTGTGGTGCATAGTAACCCTTTGGGCTGTCCATTGATCAAGCTGTATGAGCTAAAGTTGAAATTGATGAACTCAGCATCTTGATTGTTGCACATAGCTTGCACAATCTCTTCTGAATGATAACCAAAAAAACCTCCAGGTCAACATTCAGGAAATACAAGGTTGCATACTGATCAAACAACCCAAGCAGATATGAACAAACAAATTACCTTTTCAACTGTGATGTTCCGGCCTTCCATTACAGACTGGTTAAGATACTTGATACAGCGTTCAGCATCTTCAACAGTGTCCATGGTGACAAAAGCAAATCCACGAGAAACACGTGTATGGGGTTCAAGGACAACATGGCAACTAGTCACCTAACAAACAGGAAATTACATAAGACAGTGATTCTGCAGAATAGGAACATATTGCGGTAACTTTATGAAGTCAACTAACCCTTCCTTCTTTAGAGAAGTAATCTTTAAGTTCTCTTTCAGTCACTCGAGAAGAGAGTCCAGTCACATACAGTGTATTTCCATGATTTACAGCATCAGGCTCCCTGCAACCAAAAACAAGTTAATAACATGGATGTTGATTGATTTCCATGTAAATACAGAACACACAATACACAAGTCAGCTGTTACTGTACTACAATAATTTTGTTTACAGAACACAAAACATCCATCAGTCCCTCTACCCCTCTTTCTTTCATCCATTTGTGAAGAGAAACATTATATGTGAAATAGATGGCAGCATATGCAATATTAGCAAATACTATGTGAAATAGATGGCAGCATATGCAATATAAGCAAATACCTCTCGCGGCTTCTTGATCTTGACCTTGCCTGAGATCTAGGGTCAGGGACTGGAGACCTAGACTGGGATCGAGCAGCAGGTGATCGTGATCTTGACCTTGATTTTGGGTTTCCCCTGTAAGGAGAGGGGGACCCTGAGTACCTGAAAGTAAGAAGTTGTCGCATGCATGAAATATTAAACATTCATAAAAGTTCTAACAAGGATGATCTTGATTGGTGCAAGAAAACAACAAAAATAGGAAGACAAATATTTAAATTCATGGAAACCAGTTCCCTACTATCATCCTCAATGCAAACTATGAAAAATATTAGCAAAGGAAATCCCATGTTTACTGGTAGGGAATAGATGTAGAGAAAAGACAAAACGATGGACACCATTCTGAAGCCAAATAAAACATTGGGAGAAAGCATAACAAACTTTCCCGAATGAAGAGTACTCCCTCCGTCCCAAAATATAAGCATTTTAGCATAGTTCCAAGTCAATTGTTTTTAACTTTGACTATTAATAGCAAAAAATAAAAAAGATCAATCAAGTAAAATTGATGTTACTAGAATTATCATTAATCAAACTATCATAATATGTAACTCTTTTTATTTAAAACATTTTATGTCCATAGATATTGTTGGTCAAAGTAGCATATCGAAGACCGTGTCGAAGTTCAAAAATGCTTATATTTTGGGATGGAGGGAGTACAAAACAGTCTAATAGAAACATGAGCACTCCCAGCAGCATACATTATGAATCGAACATGACATGATCCTTATTGAAGTGGCATCATGATTATGATACCAAATGCTGATAAGTAACTGTAGACAAAATGTCTACGATTGAGCTTTTGTTCATGGACCAACAAGCATACGAGCCACACTTAGAATGTGTTACGGCTGAATGCAACACTAAACAAAGTCCTCATATGGCTTCAGGATCATACTACTATCATTTTTTACTACAGTAATATAAACTGAAGAGCATTGCCTTTCTACAGCGGCAAACACCTGGCATCAACCTATAGCTTATTTAGTTGCCCGAAGTTATGAGTAACAGTACAAGCAACATAACTAATATAAAGCCAGTATTTACTGACATGTCCAATGGCATTAACCATCTTCTCAAGGAAATGTTATGTAAGTTCACCTCATGTTCTAAAAGAACTTTTGAGAAACTGGTGGGGAAAAGGAAATAAAAATTGGAATACCCAGACGAATGTAGTAGTGCAATTTAACTAATCTAGACATTAGCTTCTATGATACGAATGACAAAAGTGGAAAACGATTTCAGAAGAAAGCATGTAACTCAAACAGCCATTTGAATAACCCCTATACTGTCAAGTTTGTCGCCAACCACTAGGAAAAATTATTGGCAAAACATAGTAGTTTAAATCTAATTACAAGATGCAAACATGAATATTTCCACTGAGATGGGATGATAGAAAGTAAGCCATGCACTCATATCAAATCATACTTCCATAGCACAATGTCCTGATGCTTAAAGGCAAACCCTATCATGCTTTCTATAAGCACCAGGAAAGAAATCCTTGTACAAATGAACAAGGGCATCTACGTCGCAGAAATTCAAAGTTCATTGGCGACATGCCAAAACATAATTAATCGTAAGGAACAGTAGGTTGAAACACTACCGAACTAATTATGTCACTAGAGAACTGCAACTTAGAACATGATGCTAACATATTGAGCACCATATGAACACATGTAATCAGCCTGCTGACATAGTATGCTCAAACAAAAAGGAAATCCACAGGCATATGCTACGAATCTTCGTGTGTTGCCTTGCCCCTAAACCTAATGGGCATCCAGCTCGAATCACGCAGCTACGATTCTAGGCGGAAAAGCTCGCATCGGAGGAGCCAGAAGGTGGCCAACCAACGAAATAGCAAACCAGGCACCAAATCGGGAGATCGAGGAGGTCGTTACCTCCTGCGCTCGGGGGTCTCCGCCTGCAAAGAGGAGAGGCGTCAGCACCGAGATCAGCCAAATCAGCGGAGAAATACAGACTGCGCCGAGGAGAGAAGAGGAAGCAGGTCTCACCATGGCACGGGGCGGATGAGGCGGCGGCGGCGGCGGAGCTCCCGGTGGTGGCGCCGACGCGCGCGTGCGGGAGGAGAGGGGAGGGCTAGGGTTTGGGTGCTGCTTCTCTCTCTCGGTCTCCGCTTCCAACCTGCTCCGCTGATGCTTTCTCTTTGGGTTTTTGTACACGCCGCCCGCGATGGGGAGAATAGTTGGGCCGTGAACGCGTGAGGCCCAGGCCCACCAGATCCACACGGAATATGGGCCGTTGAGGTTGGGACATTGGACGGCCCAGATGTGCCACCGCCTTCCACCTCCCCCTTGGCCGACATGCGAAGAAGGGAAGAGGAGAGGGAGGAGGAAGAAGGCCTCGCGGCGGAGGAGGAAGAAGGAAGAAGAAGGCGAGGCGATGCCGCGGGAGGGGACGCGGATGGCGGGGCTGTGGGAGCGCGAGGTCGGCTGCCTCCCGCCCAAGCTCTTCGCCAACTCCGTCATGGCCTCCCAGGTCAGGTCCAATCCAACCCTCTCTCTCTAGTTTCTTCCCCATCCCTTTTGCTCTTCCGCACGGAGACCAAATCACCACCCAGCGCTCGCTTTTCTGTTTCCTCCAGCGTTTTAATCCTAAAATCGAACAGCATTAGGTTACGTTAGAACAGGATTAACTGTATCCTACCGTGGAAATCGGTGCGTTCATTAAGAGAAACCAACTTAGTACTAGGTTCAGAGAGCACAGTCAACGCAACAAAGGAGGTTCAGAGAGAATCACAGGTGGTTGTTGCAGTAGCCTTGTGATGGCTTCTTTTGTTTCTATAACCATGGAGCATGTTTGACTGTTTGTGCAGGACTTTGTGCGGTCTCTCGGTGTCCAGAAGAGGCTGCGGAAGCACAGGGGCTGTGTGAATACCATCAGCTTTAACGAGGATGGGAGCTTGCTCCTGTCCGGTTCGGACGATCGGGCCGCTGTACTGTGGAATTGGCAAGAGGGGACGCCTACCTTCGCGTTCCACACTGGCCACAGCGACAATGTGTTCCATGCTCTGTTCATGCCCTTCTCAGGTGACCGGAGCATCATCACATGCGCTGCTGATGGACAGGTATATATATATATTGGCTCAGAGTCATCCAATTTTATTTTTACCATGTTTTCACCATTCTCCTCTACATCGTACACATGGTCACATGTTTGCTGTTTCCGTGAAACAGGTGAGGCATTCGCAAATACAAGAAGGTGGTCGTGTAATTACAAATGAGCTAGTTGATACAGAGGTAGCAGTGCACAAACTAGCTATTGAGCCTGGAAATCCTCACACATTCTTTAGCTGCGGAGATAATGGCTCCGTTTTTCTTGTAAGTTGTTAAACTTGCTAACTTCATTCACCTGTAATAATATCTGCTTGGGTTCCTTTGTTGATAACTCTCTGTTTGATCCAGTTTGACCTAAGGGAGAAATATGTTGCTGAACTCTTTAAATGCGCAGAAGTTGATCATTTTGGTGGTGATACCATTGAACTCTATGCTATTGCCATAGACCCGAGAAAGCCTAGTTGTTTTGCAGTTGCTGGATCTGATGAGTATGTGAGAATATATGATAGCCGCAAGATTGATGTGAATGGGAATTCTAGTTTTGGTCGGCCAATTGAATACTTTTGCCCTCCACATATGATGGGCGAAAACAAAGATGGAATATCTGGTTTGGCATTCTCGCAGACCAGCGAACTATTGGCATCCTATAGTTATGATAACATCTACCTTTTCTCGAGAGAACATGGCTTACACTTCAACAATATTGAGGTAGGAAAACGACTCCTGATGGATGAGATTGAAGGAGACTGCCATATAAATACAGCTCCATTACCCTTTTGTAGAGATAAGTTGCCTGCACCTCAAATATTCAAGGGACATCGTAACAAGCACACCATGAAGGGTGTTAATTTCCTTGGGCCCAACTGTGACTATGTTACCACTGGATCAGACTGTGGCCGTGTATTTATTTGGAGGAAGAAGGATGGGGAGCTTATGCGGGTTATGAAAGGGGATAAACAGATTGTGAACTGTGTTGAGCAGCACCCTTATGGGATTGTTATTGCAAACTGTGGCATTGATAAAGATATCAAGATTTGGGCTCCTGGTGGAAGTGAGAACCCTGACGAGGTATAATCTTTATTTTGTGCAAACTTATTGTGCTTCTCCTGATGTTTTATGCTCATTACTTGCTAAACTTATCAGGCATGGCATAAATATGTTGGGCCGCCATGGTTTATACATGGCATCCGAATTAATGTTCTTGAGATGTGCTTATTAACTTTTTGCATGAAGCTAGGGTGTGAATGTTAGCTGACTTGATTCATATAGTATTTTTTATATGTAAAATCACCATTATGAATCTGAGGTACCAGGAAATGAGAAAAAAAAAAGAGGACCAAATTTGCAGGCTTGTAGAAAGTAGCTCTATCTGTATGTTTTGTACTGCTGCATCAATGATATTAGAATTATGATATATGCGATATCACATAATGTTTTCTACCGGTGCATAAACGAAATTAGTGTTCTGATGTATGCGGTACTATGGTTTGCAGGTTGAGACAGATTCTTGTTGCTCTGATATCAGTGAGTCCTATGACTCGGTTTACTTTGATGATTACATATTTTCCTCGGATTTTGATTCATCTGAAGAGGACGACGAAGACGACGACGACGATGATGATGATGATGACGATGACGAAGAAGATGGCCTTAGTGTTAGTATCAACGAAGACATGAGCTATGAAGAGAAAGATGCAGCCAGCGACCATGACAGCGATGTTTAAAGGTTGCATTCAGCTATTATGAGACCGTAGGATGGTTCAGTCTTAGAACATGGTCAGTTAGGGGATCATCGACAGTTTTGTATGATGTATGCCTTAGGTTGTTTTATCATGTGTTCCTTTCTCAGTCCTCGGCCGTATTGCTTGTACATACATATACATATGCCTGAGATAGCTAAGCAAAAGCATACTTACATGTGGACAAATTTGAGTGGATGGAGAATTTTGTGTATATTACATTACACATGTTTACCGCCTTAAATCCTGACTGATGATGAGAAATACCACCAATTTGAGAGGGATTTATGAGTTTTTAAACCCTACTATATCAATTTATTTTGTTGTTGTAAAAATTGTAAGGCCTTATGAGTTTTTAAACCCTACTATATCAATTTTTTTTTGTTGTAAAAATTGTAAGGCTCTAGTGGCCGACGTGTAATAATAATCCTCACCCGCTCGCTGGGAAAATATACAAACACGCATTTTATTTGCCGACCAAATAAAAAAAATAAAAAATCAGAGGCGGACGCACGGCTGCAAGTTCCGTGTCGTGCTGGGTGTCTCGCCGTCGCCGCCGGGGCGAGCATGGAGTCCGTCGCGATCGCCACCACCTCCCGCTCTCTCCTCCCTCTCCCCCCCTTCTCCTCCAATCGCCGATGCCGCCGCCGCGCATCCTTCCTCCCCGTCGCCGCCTCCAACCGTACGTTTCTCCGCGCGTCCATTTCTTCCGCGTTCGCCGGTGCTCATGTCTCCCGTGTTTTGCAGGCCGCCACCACGACGACGACGACGAGGAGGTCGCCAAGGCGCACGAGCCCACCAGCCTCGCCTCGTACGGCCTCTCCATCTCGCCGCTCTCCAAGGTACAGTACGATTCGATACGAACCCTCACTCCCTCCATTCCATTCCTCGACCTGTGGACCGATCCGATATGCTTTATTAATTTGTTCCTTTCTTCACCGCTTCTGGACGTTTCACGCCCGATTTCGCGCTTTCCCGCAAGTTTAGTGGTCGCTTCACTGAGGAATTTCTCCCTTCGATTCGATCCCCCGTTTCGCCATACTCCTTGCCGTTTCTTTGCAATTTGTGAATGACTTTGATGATGAAAATAGCTGTTTGTTTTGGCCAGATCAGGTTGATTTATGCTGCTGACGTTGTCATCTCTCATCTGCAGGATGCGGCCATGGGGCTGGTGGTGAGCGCCGCCACGGGGAGGGGCTGGACGACGGGGTCGGGGATGGAGGGCCCGCCCAAGGCCGCCGGTGGGGGAGACCGGCCGGAGGTGTCCACGCTGCCATGGTCGCTCTTCACAAAGTCCCCACGGCGGCGGATGCGCGTGGCCTTCACCTGCAATGTGTGCGGGCAGCGAACCACGCGCGCCATCAACCCGCACGCCTACACTGACGGCACTGTCTTTGTTCAGGTATGCATGTATAGCCATATAAACGGCATGGCTACCGAATGGAAATCTGTTCACTAAATTATATCCAAGTTGAGCTGATCCTGATTCTCTCAACATTGTTGTAATTCCATTCGAATACATACAAACAATTAGTTGAAGTTGATGAGTGCTCAATCGTAGGATCAGTGTAGTCAGTACATAGAATATTCCCATTGATGATGTGTTGAGTAAACGGCATGCCTAGTGAATAGAGATGTGTTAAATATCCAAGTTGCACTGCCCCAGCGAAATATCCAAGTTCTGCTGATCCTGATTCTGTCATACATGCATAATTGAATTGGAGTGCTATCTTGCTGAACCAATTTTCTAGTTTGAAACATTGTTGTTATTCCATAAGAACTAGTAGTTTAAGTTGCTGAATGCTCAATCCAAGGATCAGTGTAGTCAGTAACTAGGTAGTTGCCATGGGTTATATGTTACATTTCCAATGTGCTTATGGTGGTGTCGCACCTGGTGGATCTTTTAGCTAGCGCACTGCAAATTTTGCTTTCACGTCAGCAGACTGAAACCTGGTGAAAACATCAGCAGATTGAGTATAGTAGAACTTAAGGAGGCTATTGTATCATATCTTATATATCAGAGACCAGATAGTAGCAAGGGAGCAAAAAAGGCAGGCTATGCCTTTCCAGTGTAATACAAATTTATGTGCAGAAATTATACAGCTTGAACAGCTTATATGTGTGTTCTGAATTCCTTTGAGAAATTTCCTAGTTTAACTACGTAAACGTTTTCTCTAGTTCAGTGCCAGCTAGATCTCAGGCACTTTTATTTGAGTGTGCTGCTTTGATGTTTCTATGAGCGCTGAACTGTTGATTGTCCTTGATCGTGCTAGTGATAAGTTTTGCTATTGTTGTGCTTCATCCTAATGCACTTTTACTTACTTTACTGTTATAGCATGAATTTTCCGACAAGTTGTTTATATTTGGATGTCTATTTCTATGCCGAACAGCTGAAATATATATGCTCTTTCCTGCTGCATCATTCTCAGTTTGCCTGACTGGTTTTGCCATTGTATTGATATACGCATATTACATATGCCTTACATTTCCTTTCTTTCGTCTGCAATTTTTGGGACTAAATCGTTTTTCGTCGTACCAGTGCTGCGGGTGCAACATATTCCATAAGCTGGTGGACAACCTGAACCTGTTCCATGAGATGAAATGCTATGTTGGTCCAGACTTCCGCTACGAAGGAGATGCACCGTTCAACTATCTCGACCGTGGCGAGGATGGTGACAACATATTTCCAATTCTGTGAAGAAAACCTGACATGGTGCTTCAGTGTGTGATGGTTGATGCCAGTATGTAATAAGCATGCATATGTTGATCAATCTGGAGGGTGCCTTGAGTTGTTATACCCTGGAACTTGTAGTAAATTTCAGATGTATATATAATTAATTGTACTCCTAGTGCACACGCTACGGTGCAAACATTATACAGATATAGTGGATAATAGTAATAGATATATGAAGAACCTTGTTATGCATAATTGTCTCCAGAGTTGAGGATGTGCAAAATTCACTTGTGATTCATTATAAGGAGAAATTAGCAGTTGAGATGAGTCTGAACAAACGTAACATGTTGTTCACGGCCGATAAAATGAATCCAGAAAATGTACAGCACAAGATGAAGCAGAAGTGTAACTTTAACTCTGATGGGCTAGGGCTAAAGCAAGATTTTCCATCTTCTGTATACTCCTCCTGTTTCGCTGTAAATTTTTCGTATGTAGTTTACTGTACTGTATACGGTTATTATCTGTAAATTTGTTCATAAATCTAAAGTTTGCGAACCATTCGGATGGGAAAAAGGAAAAACGAAAGTACTCCGTAGTAAACAAACAAAAGGAGAAGGCGCGAGCAAAGCTTGCACTGCACTCTTGTGCTCCCATCTCCGAGACGAGACAAAGATCATGGCGACTCCCAAACCCTAAATCCCGCTCTCACTGGAGAGCAGAAGCAAGTAAGAGGTGGAGCAATGGCGCGGCGGAGCAAAGGTAGGCAAGGCGCCGCCCTTTCCCCCCGAAGAATTTGCCTGCTTCACTGTTTGGATCTGGATTTGGTTTGGTTTGGTTTGGTGCCTCGCAGGCGGCGGCGCGGAGGGGGACGGCATGCGGATGCAGGTGGTGTGGCGGAAGGGCGCGGTGCGGCTGGTGCTCGTCTCCGCCATCGCCTGGGCGCTGCTCGTCATCCTCGCCCTCGCCTTCCACCTCTGGTCCTGCAACTCCGACGTCCCCTTTCTCTCAGGTGCTCCCTCCTCCCTCCCCGCCCGTTTCATCCATCACCCATGGAAGCGACAGTTCCATCAATTTGCTCGCTGTGTCTCTACAAACTAGCAGTAGCTCATAACAGTTGCCATGTTTTGTGTGCTACGGTTGCAACGCAATGCGCTTTGAATAATCACTTTGGTATACCATTGTTTTCTGTATGCATCTCTTACAAAGAGTCTGATATGATTGGTCACACCATTGTTTATTACTACTTACTAGCCTAAAGGAAATGTTATTATGGATCATGCCATATATATTGAGCCAGGGCCTCTGATATTTCCTACTCTGGTAATTATGTTTACTATGCTAGAGATTCCTTATGTTCATCTCATGACCATGCTTAAACATCTTGGTCTTTTCATCATGACTGATTATCGAAATACTCTTGTCATATCCTCACATTGTTTACCATGGTTTGCATCTGCACAGCTCTCTGTAAAAAAGACAGTAAAGTTCTGTATGCGTTGGACTCCATACGATCCTCATCAAAGCCACTTCACCGTAAGACTTGCGCCTTAACCTTAAGCCCTTTGCATGATGGCTGTTTATTCTTGCTGTCTAACTTTGATTTCTTCATTCTACAGGCTGCCCCATACCTGTTGCAGATGATCCTGATTCTATTACCATTCCAAAGAGAACTCCCAACACAATCGTGAAAAGGTTGTCCTACATAACAGTTGACAAACAGGACAAAGATCCATCACCGCTGTTCGGAGGACGTCAAAGCTGGAAACAGAGGGAGGACAGCTTCAAACTGAATGCTACAATGAAGGCAACTACTTTCCTTTATTGTGTTTGTATATCTTCTTATCTTCTTAAGTATAATATATGATTCTCTGATTAAGTACCAAAATGAGGAATAAAGGTGGATGGATCAGTTAAATTTTCTTTAGTTGAGTATTTTTGCACTGAAGCATGTATATTTCCTTTGTCTTATCCCGATTTGTACATAGTACAAAAGCACGCTAAGATGGTCGACAGATTACTTAACCTATACTGAAATTGGAATGGTGGTGGTCATATAGTGTGGCTTTAGAGTGCTTCGGCACAATACAAAATATCACTTCCACTTTGTTCATTGTGTCTAAAGCAAATAGCATACCAGCCTTTAAAGAGGAATAGCTCATGGCACCTTGCCATTCCTTTCCTTCTGCACACACTGAATCTTGGGTTACGGTGGTTCATCTTTGATTCACTGAACTTTCTTCTTCCTGCTTGGTTTGTGTTATATACGCAGGTGCACTGTGGATTTATGAAAAACAGTGGTGCGGACATGGATGATGTCGATGTCAAGTACATACAGAAATGCAAATTCGTGGTTGCCTCTGGTATATTTGATGGTTATGACATTCCCCATCAGCCATCAAATATTAGCATTCGATCTCAAAAGTTGTTCTGCTTCTTGATGGTGGTAGATGAGGTATCCCTTGATTTTATTGAAAAGAATACCACTGTCAAGTTTGATAAGGCAGGAGGGAAATGGGTAGGCATATGGCGACTTATAACTTTACACCGCCTTCCATTTGATGAACCTAGAAGGAATGGAAAAGTGCCAAAGATATTAACACACAGACTATTTCCTCAAGCTTGGTATAGCATTTGGATTGATGGGAAAATGGAGCTTATAGTCGATCCGTTGCTTATTCTTGAAAGGTTAGCTTTTTTTTTTCTGAAACACCAGACAATGCATACAGTTCTGTCAAAAGTCCAAAAACAAACCAACAAGCTGAATTCTTTGCAGGTATCTCTGGCGGGGAAAATACACCTTTGCGGTAGCTGTCCATAAGCATCATAAGAGCATTTATGAGGAGGGTGATGCAATCAAACGGAGGAAGAGATATGCCCGGCCTCTGGTTGATCTTCAGATGAAGATGTACTATCATGAGGGGATGGAGCCTTGGAACCCAAAGAAAAGGATGCCTAGTGGTGAGTAGAATTATTTTTTTTGTCCCATAAATTTATAGGCATACTTAAACTGTTGTGTACCTTTTGCGATTCTGTCATTGCTACCAAAAGCTCCTCAATCCTGTCTGTGACTAAACAAGATGCAACCTGCAGATGTGCCAGAGGGGGCAGTGCTGATCCGGGAGCACACAACTATGAGTGATTTGTTCAGCTGTCTCTGGTTCAACGAGGTCAATCTTTTCACGCCTCGCGATCAGCTCAGCTTTGGCTACGTGGTGTATAGGCTTGGAGATGCTCTTAAATTCTTCATGTTCCCAAACTGCGAGTACAATTCGCTGTTCATTTTGCACAGACACACAAGGGAACACTCATCAAAAGTCGAGTGGGCTAAAACAATCGATGAGATCGTGAAAAAGGGATTGAAGGAGAGCAAGGGAGGATTAGGGCTGTGGACTCCATACCCTGCAGACCTGAGCTCTGTCGAACTCCCCAGTGTAAAAAGAACTTCGCCAGCAGGCTAAGCTGGGAAACTACCTGAACATGATTTCGTGATTGTGCAAAGTAGAGCCCTCGTTTTTCTTTTCTTTTCTTTTCTTTTGATCAGAGGAAATTGTGTAGTTTCTCATGTTGATTCTGGTGCATATGAAAAATGATGGCACTATAGGTTAGCACTTTACTTGTAGCTTTGTGACTTCATTACTGTGCCAAATTCTGCGCCAACACTGTAACTATACGTAAACCAATCGTGGTATGAGCTATTGTTTCCAAGGAAATGTTAACGGCTGGCATCAGAGGATTCAGATCGTCGTCACCATAGAAATGAGCTATTGTTTCCAGGAAATGCTATTTGCAAATGATTGCAACAGAGGTCACTCTACTACCGATTCCACCAGATTTCATACCCTGTTGTCAAAACATCAGCAGTAAATACCTCAGCAATAGCTGCAACTCACCAGGCACTTAAAATGATAATTTTTCATGATATAAAAGATTGTTTTTACATCCTCTGATCTACCAAAAGCTCCTACAAGGGCTCATAGCAGAGCACCAAAATGACTTCACAAAAACCAACTTGACTGGAACACAAGTGCTGGTGCGCATCTCCTACCGTCTATATTGAACATGAGACCAGGCTGCAAGGTGGCCTTCCCCAGATGGACATTCAGAAAGCCTTCCAGCTGAAGACGTTCTGGGCTGCCTTCGGTGCCTCTCCGCAAGCTCAAGCCCCAGCCTAGGTCGTCCTCCGGTGTTTCTGACAATGTGAGCGCCCATCTCACTAACCTTGGGTTCGCCTTCTTGACCTCAATCCAGGCCCCAACTCTTGAGTCCTCATCGATCTTCAGATCGAAATCAACACATCCTCCAGCAGTTGGTTTGCTCTTCCTAGATATTAAACCGGGTCCATGCAAGGCTGCGGACATGGTTAACTTCATTTCATTTTGCATCTGACATGACATTTGCCCAAATCCTGTGAAAAATCTACTGGCTTCACCCGAGTTATTTGGCTTCCCAGCTGCTGAGATCAACTCAGCAAGAGAAACGGCAAAGTTCTTTGACCTCAGTATTAGGCCAGCAGCATAGTTATGCCGTTTAATCAGCAAAGGTGGCCTCAATGAAGAACGGAAGCTGGCAAGCCAATGCTCCTGTCAAAAAAACTATTACCTGATACATTAGCAGGCAAAAGTTATTGTGATTACCAGTTCGTGTATGAGAAAATTACCTCTTGGAGACTGGGGTCGGTTGAAAAATCATCACACCTCGCTCCTACTGGTACAGCAGAAGCAGACAGCGAGTCATTGATATTTGCCAAGTACATCACCTTTGACAATACAAAAGGGCTCCCAATAGAATCATTTTCTGAAGGCAGGCTCCTATGATCAGTGACAAGCTCTGCAAGAAGAGAATCCTTCTTTCGAACATTTGTCTGGAACACAAACTGCGAACTAATGCCAGAATTTGTTTCTGAGCTATCTGGTCCTGAATCCTTTTTGTTTTTTGATGAGAGGCTTCCAGCGACAGTGATAATTCCCTTGACCCTGGTGCTTTCTTCTGCAAATGGGCCACTTTTGCTCGCTTTGAACAATGTAAGCACTCTTTCAATTTTCTCCTGTTTCTCCCTCAGCTGCATTATGTCATAAAACGCTTGGCGCTGCAAGCGCTTCAAGATATCTATCTGAAGTAGAAAAAGAGAAGAATTTAAGGCAGGTAGATCAACACAATTCGTTTGTCATGGCAATTTTCTAAGGTACATTCAGTCAGAGAATACCACATAAACAGATTATGCTAGTAACTAGTCTGCGCACCAGACCAGAACACTGACAAATGTGTGTTGAAAAAGAAAAAAAAAAGGAGCATTTGGAACACCAGACCAGGGCTTAGTTGTTAGTAGTATCACAATCACATAATGTGGAGATGGTATTAAGATTGTGACCATTCATTGGTGAAGCAGTTTGAATTGAAAGCTCTAGATAACGATCTTTTTTTACTGGAGTACTCCACTTCACATAAAAGAACTCGGTCCCAAATAACCTAGTTCCTGACTGGCATTGTTGTCCTTTTTCGTCCCAAAATCCTCACCAAATTATCCAAACCTTATGAGCCAAAATAAGAGATTTGGTTTCCCCTTTTCGTTATTTGCTTGGAATGAATCGAACAAAACATCATCCCCGTATCTAAAGCTTCCGGCGGTGGAGTGGAGGAGGATGACAAGGGGGAAAGAAAAAGAGAGAGAGGTTGGTAAGCTTACGGGATTGGGTCCGGGAGGCGGGGGAGGAGGGCGGCGGAAGGAGAGGAAGAAGCGCTTGGTGGAGTCGGCGGCGCCGGTGGCTCGATCCACCGCGCAGGCCCACGCCGCCTCCATCCCCATCCCCATCAAATTTCTTCCACACTTCTCTTCTCTTTGTCTTGTCTCTTGTTGACGAAGCCTCCAGTCCAGAATAGCAACAGCAAGGGGCTTTAGCTTTCGGCTTTCCTTCCGGAAAGGGTTTTTGACGCTTCAGAAATCAGAAGCGAATCTGTCGACAAATTTCCGTCTGTTTGTGAAAATTCATTTGCTACTACATTTGAAACTTTTGTGTTGTGTGGGGGCAAGACTAAATCTTCAACTTGTTTTTTGAGTTTTTACGCTTGGAATTTACACAAGTATCAAAGTTAATTTCTAGTTTTTTTAAGTATAGAAGGACTCCCCGGATCTGATTTCAACTGGACCGGAGTATTACAAGGAGTAGTCCACAAACTTACCCTTCCATGGCGAAAATTCATCCAAATGTAAAAAGACTTTTGCAAAGAACCCACCATGGCGACGCTGGGAACAGGCGAGCCAAACATTTTCCCTTATATGAAACACATCCAGTCTGTTGGAATAAACTGTGCATAACTAAACAGAATGATTTCGATGGATCAAAATGCAGTATACCAGCAGTAAATTACACCATGTCACATGGAACTCGAAGCAATATATCCGCAATGTACACAAGGAAAAGTTCAGACAAGAACAGGCTAAACGTCAAACATGGTAAACAAACACTAACACTCTTCTTTATTCGCCTCTTCCTTACTTCTGAATATGATTGTACTAAATTAGATCATCATCATATACAGAGGAGCAACGGACCCCATCAAGACAATGAATGACCGAAGCAGCAACCTTGACAGCAACAGAATCTTTTTCTTTGTGGATCAATGTAGAGCCTGCGTGATGATGGAATTCATCGAGCACTGACGAGGAAAGGTTGCTGGCAGACACCACATTCTATGGTCTCTGAACCAGATGTTGGGACTTGCACCTGTAGGAATGGTTCATTTGGATCAAATGGGTCCATGCAGTGAAACCAATAAACCGTCCAAGAAGGAATATCACGGTTACTATACCTGAAGGTGGACTGTGCAGGTGGGGCATGCAACCTCCCTCATTCGCCTGCTAGAACCATCCGTAGACCTTGACGAGGCTGTCGATGAAACCAACATGGTTTTAGATGCTAAGGTGAAAAGAGGACATTTCTGAAACAGAGTACACATAAATAGGCAAACCTGAAGATGACTTCTTATTTATATCCATTGCATCCTGTATCAAACCACAGATCATCTTCAGTAAGCATGCATATTTGTCTTACAGTTAATTCTAGTGGCACACAGGCAAATTCATCCAAAATGGAATGATACTACAGAAGGTTGCAGATGCCTCCAGTTAACGGAGCATTTCCATACATTTGAACAGTGTATAGGTAAGTAATACAATGGCCAACTAGAAGGCTCTTGCATCACAATTCACAAAGCTGAAAGAAGTGTGCACCTTAAGTTTTTTGGCAAGATCCTCATGGCTGTGAACAATAGGCCGATTTGCCGCTTCCCTTGCATTGTTCAGTCTTTGAGAAACTTCAGCCTATGGAAATAGAAAAGCGTGATTTTGGTATCATCCATTGATAACCACACATCTAGTTTTGTCAATAAAATCAACAGCATATTCCTAGTCTGTAACAGTGACATTTAGAATGGGTGCAAGCCCACAACATAGACCACTTGACAGAAACAGAAAGTGACTATCTCAACACCATAACTCATATTAAAAGTCAGCAGTAATTTTGTCCTTAAAATGATAGATGGGTAGTCATTAAAACAGTGTAGATCTGATGGTTGAAACAAAACTTAATGCCACATCCTCCTTCAAGAGCAGAAAAGTGCATAGGTAACTCCCTGTTTATCTCCCAGTAATGCAGAAAGAAGAAGCATAGCATCATTCAGAAAATTAAGGTATAACTCCACTACAAAATCCTGATATTGTCCAAGCCTAGCATCAGTAATTCACATGAGCAATGAGGCCTCACATTTTAATATCTTATGTTACAACTCACAGTTAGGATTATATAATCATGTGACAAATTCATTTTTCCGATGCATGTACCCTCTAAGCACAGGGAAACACCAAAGAGATCTGTATAACATAAACAATAACTAGGACTCGATGGAGAAGGATGAGAGACACTACCATGCATCTGTCACAAACTCGCACTGGTTGAGCATCAGCATCAGTAGTTAAAGGAGTTCTTCCCTGGGTGCACTTGTCGCAGAAAATATCACCACAATTTCGACAGTGATGCTGAAAATACAGACTCACAACATTAAAAGATGGAACCCCCAAGTTATCATCAACAGGTCAAAAGTGAACCATTATTACCCTGCGATTGAAAGCACTGAAATCTGCTGTACATGCTGTGCATTTAGTGACGGCTTCATCTGGGACCTAATAGGAGAAGTGCAGAAAATAACATAACTAGTTAAAAGAACTGAAACAAATAAGTCTACAAATAGAACAAGACAAAAGGGAAAGTACATCCAAAAATGCAAACCATATACCAAGAGACCACATGAAGATTCGATTGCATTAATGGGGACGGAAAGATAAATGCTTGGACAGACCCATGAATAGCAGGTAGGGCCCATTATAATACAGACAGACCCCAAAGGGAAGTAGAGTTAGCGGTGCAAAGAACAAGCCACAGATAACTCATTAGGAAAATAAGCGAGATGCGATCAATAACCACAAAACAAAATTGTGAATCCAAAAAATAGAGTTACTGTGCGGTGCTAATAATTCACAAATGACAAATTTGTTAACAACAACAACACGCAGTATGAGAATAAGGCAAATAAATTAATTTAAACTGACTTTCTTCATAATAGCCATAACAAAGTTCAAATCACATGAAATCAGCTTTTGCCTCTCGATTTTATTGAAATACCACAATCCAAGAAAGTGAAGCCAAATTATGTTACAGTATAACAGAAATCAGAAACTACATAATCATATTTAGCAAAAGGGCTTGTAGCCTAGCGGTTACAAGGCTCAAGTTGAACCTCTATGTCCTGGGTTCGACTCCCCACGGGAGCAAATTTCAGGCCTGGTTAGAAAAGTTCACTCGCTGGCCCCTCGTAAAAACACATGTTAAGAAGCGACCTATGGAGGGCGGAGCCTCGTTAGGGGGCAAGGGCCTCAAAGCATGGGTTAAGGACCGATCCATAGGGGGGCGAGTCCGCGTGTGGGGGGGCCACTGGGCCAGGGTTCGTGGCCTTTCTTGGCTGGGTTGGCTGAGGCTCTTCTTCTTAATGAAAAGCAGTGGGGGCGGTCCTTCCCCCGCTGGTTGAGATTTTTTTTTAATCGTATTTCTCAGCAGTTCAGCATATACACATAAAATGGTAACTGAGTGAAAGCTTTAAGACCATAAACATAAAGAAAAGGAAGAAAAGATGTATACATGCTTATTTTTGCATTCATCTGCCTAAGCAACTGATATTCCAGACGACTAGGCAGATTTGAATCACCGAAGACTATATCGTGGTATGTAAAATGTAACATTACAGATAAGCAGGCAATAAATGAGTTACAACTTACAAGTGTGTCATTTTGAATACCGAAATATAGGAAAACCTTGAGACCTATACAGAAAGAACTTACCCAGTGGTCTTTCTCCTCGTTCATGGGCTTCATTAAGTTCCTCCAATCAAGGAAATTTTTCCTCCTATCATTTTGTTGTTCAGGAGGTTTGGCAGCATCAGCAATTGCTCTACTTCTCGAAATGCTACTTCCGCCCATTTCCTTGAACTGTTAGTCCAAAGAAAAACCAGGCATAGTACGCTTAAGAATTTGCCAAAAACTGAACGATGAAGAAAATGAATATCATGAATACGGATGCAAACCTGCACACTCGCGGCTGTCACAGTGTCAAGAATGGTGTTGGTTGTATAGCTGTTTGACTTCAGCCTTATTCTTCTTGCTTCAAAATCAACTGAGCTCTTAGACCAAAAGGCAAAGATAGAAGAATCTAATACCTGCATAAGTATCCCATAAAAATTAGTAAAAGAAATCACCAAATATATAGCAAAAACTATAACTTTCTGATCAAGATGCAACAGTAGCCCAAAACTTACATCCCATCTAGTTACAGTTTCAAGGGGGTATATTCTCAATGTCCTACTAGTATTGGGATCAAGCATCCGAATCCCATCCAAACCAACCTGCTCAAGGTACAACCAGATAAGTAATAAAATAATGATTATTGGGTCATTCCAGGAGTAGACGCAAGTACACAATAAGTACAACAGCGTAAAACTTCACCCATCCAATGCAAAAACTTACATATTTGGTCCCATATTATGAGTTAATAATTTCTTCAGCATTTTTTATTATCATGATGGCATTGTAGATGCAGTGTCCAGAACTATATGTCTACTTAGACAGTTAGTTCCACATTGCGATCGTTTTATATTACATCTGTCTCATGAAGTTAGCAAAAAGGACGGTACAGGGAACTTTGTCTACAAGGAAACTAAAGCAAGACAACCACTCCATTGAACTCATTCTCAACCTTTTTCATCAACCCGTAAAGTACTGCTAATAGGAAGGATGGTGGGGGAAGTTGATTCTGCTAACTATTTGATAGGCTTGTCACATTGTTTTATCAAGCGCATGCAGTTTTATTTTTATTCTTCTTTTACTTTCACATCTTTATCAAGCTCAATACTATGTGGGCATGTGGCTCTAGAAAGTCAATCTTGTTCCTGCAATTGAAAGGGCCTCCTTCATCCATAACTCTTAGTCTTTGACTACTTGATAAAGTAATGGATCTCCCTACCTAAGTTCTAACTTCATTATTTGATAACTTTTCTTAACCATCAAATGACAATGATATAATTCCTTACATGTCATGTAGGTAATAGCTATCCCTAAAAAATATGTACTTCCTCCGTTTCACAATGTAAGTCATTCTAGCATTTCCCACATTCATATTGATGTTAATGAATCTAGACATATGAATGTGGGAAATGCTATAGTGACTTACATTGTGAAATAGAGGGAGTAGTTAATTAGCTAGGAAACAAACAACTATACTTAGCATCCTCCACAATTGGCTAGCATTCTTCAATGTGTCCAATTTTTCCATAGGAAAACTAACTCATCAAACCTCCACAAATTAATCCTTGAGTCTCCGCAAGCGATTATGCAAAGGGAGGTCCAGAGCATAGTCCATTATGCCAAATTTGTAATACATATTCAACCTCTAGTCATTACTTTCCCATGCTGCAAATATGCAGCCAATGAAGCTATTAACAACCAGAAGAACAGCACACATTCCTATTTGAAAGCATCCGTTTACGACGCACAAGGATCAAATTTACAGTTAATAACTAACCATTGATTGATTTTAGAATAGCATGTACAATGTCCACAAAAGTTATCACCGTCCTCAACCAAGGAGCAGAATAGAGAGTACCTGGCAGAGCACATCCATGGGGCTGCCCGCGCCCTCCGGCAGCAGCTTCACCCGGAACTTCTGCACACCACCACTCGTGTCCTCCGACGTCTCCACCTTGGGCACTGCCCGCACCACCTTGGGGCTCGCCGAACTGCCTCCACCGCCACCACCACCGCCACCTCTCTCCTTGGTCGAACCAATCGACCTCCCGTAGTCATCAAACAGCGGGGAATTCGACCTCGGCGCGGTGCCCCTCGCGCCGTACGGCTCCGGCGCGTCGCCGCCGCCGCCGCTGTACGCGTACACCCCGTCATCCGACCACCCGCCCCCGGCAGGCTTGGGCGGGTACAGCTCCTGGGATCCGGATCCGTAGCCGTAGCTTCCTGCCCGATCTAGCGACGGGTAAGGCGAGGGAGCCGGGTTGTGCGGGGGCGGCTCGTAGGGGTAGTACGGCTGCGGCTGCGGCGCGGCCGGGGGAGGCGCGTACTGGGGGGGATCGGCGGGCGGCGGCGGGTAGGTGGGGTACGCGGCGGGGGCGGCGTAGTCGGTGGCGGGGTACGGCGTGTAGGGCGGCGCGGAGGCGGAGGGGTAGGTGGCGAGCGGCGCGGAGGTGGGCGAGGGGTAGGGCTGGTAGTAAGGGGAGTACTCACCGGAGGGATGCATCTCCGGCTTGTCGGGATCGGATCGGCGGGGGGACTCCGGCGACGGCGAGGTAGTCTCCGGCGAGAGGAGGGGAAGGAGAGGAAAAGAGAGGAGCGAGTGGTGGGCGCCTTTTTGCGGGAAGGCCCCTGAAATATTCTTTTATTACTGATAAGCCTCTCTTTGTAACAAAAAATTTGCTTCTCTTCTCTCTGCAGCTCACATCTCTGCAAGCTGCAAACTGTAAACCAATCAATAAGATTTAAAACAATTATTGAGTGTATTGTTGCTGTGGATTACTCCCTCCGTCCCAAAAAAACGAATCTTAGAACTGGATGTGACATATTCTAGCACACCTCTGTCCAGATTCGTAGTACTAGAAGATGTCACATCCAGTAATAGGTTGATTTTTTTATGGGACGGATGGGGTATCAGTTGATTATAAAAATTAATTTAAGAAATACTAATTTAAAATAAGTGGTCTAAACAATGCGACAGAACAAAGTTTGTTGAGAAAATTTACTTTTTAAAGTGTGGAGTAGTAAATAATTTGTTTTAACAATACGATGAATAATTAAAAATAAATGAGGCTTAAGTGAAAGATCAAAAAGCAAAAATGAATTATGCATCCACTACTAGATGAATGTCAAGCTGGAGATGATTAGATTATGGAATACTTGATTATCTTTCTCATGATTGATTGATTAGCTAACTTGAGCAAGTTTATCAGCCAAGGTAGGAGTAATACTACTCCAAGGCATGAGTAAGTTCAACCAGGAGCAATGTTGTTAGATAAAATTTTCAGGGCTTTCATCCATTATGATCAGTAACTGATCACCATGCTGATCTACTGTAATCAATAGCTTTCACATCAACATTGCTCCATTTTCAAGCCATCTGTCCAAACAGATACACACTGCATTAATTTGTTTATGTCGCTTCTTGCTAAATATATATGATCTCCTCCTGTTTATAATGGTTGCAACTCGCAATTTGCTTTACCATGTGTTTGCTGCTCTGCTTGCATGTGTAAGATGTGATGCAAACCTAAAATTCGCAGAATAAAAATATGTATATCTCTTGCCTTTGACCTGCACAACAACTCCTAAGCCGACATTGCAACTTGCCAATCAGCATTTGTATCTAATTAAATAACAACGTGATTAGCCTAATTGCAGGTCAAGGCTCGAAGCTTCAGACGAAGCTGATGATGGAACACATGACAGCAACTACGTACTTAGTCTTAAGAGAGGCTAGACACAATGTCCAAGTACATGGTACCTTCACCTTTCTTGCCCATAATGGCAACTTGGTTTCTTTGAGGTACAGTTGGTTTCTTCATCAAGTAGGTCATAAAGTTTAATTTAATTGCAAATTGAACTACTGATCAGTAGCTATCGATTACGATTAGCACCCACCAAACTGATGTTCTATATGTGCATCTCCTCCTCTGTCAGACTATCACTCTTGTAAAAACATATGTGATGAATAATACAGTGTCATCTCAGTTTTATTCATAAGAAAGTGCAGTGTCATCTCAATATAAGTAGATGATCAGCTAGAAATTTAAGAGGAACACATCATTTCACCATGATTGTTAATTAATATTAGTATGTGATCTCGCGACACGTTATCTTGTGGACGTACGGGACGAACCACGGTGTCTTAATTTGATCTCTCAACAAGAAAATGGTATGATTGATCAGCTTAATTAGATTAAACACATATATCAATTTTTTTTGAGAGAAACGACGGCAAAAGACCCGCCGGAATTTTAATTAAGAGGAGTAAAAAAACAAAAGTTTACAGTCCCAGGAAATGGGATGAGAGTTCACCAAACAAAATTAAGGAGGTCTAAAAGCCGACCTATGGAGGTCTAGATCCTCCGTAACAAAGTAAGCTACCTTATTCACTGTGCAAGAAATATTATTGAAAATTCTCCTATTTCTTTCTAACCAAATATTCCACCAAGTAGTTAACCGAGCTCCCCTGACATTTTGCTTTTGATTAGAAGATCCATCTCGATTGACTTGATCCCACCACGAAGAGATGTCCTCCGGCTGAGAGGGGGGAGCGGTCAGCCTTCGCCAAGTTTGAATCAAGGTCCAGACTTCTCTGACAAAAACACATTCACAAAACAGGTGATTTGTGTCTTCAAACGCACACGTGCAGAGACCACAATCCAGTTGCACGGCCAATATCTCTTTAGTAGATTTTGAGCTGTTAGAGTTTTGTGGTTGATCACATATATCAAATTCATCTGCCCAATTTACATTACTGAGTACATTATTGTCATGAATTATCTATATAAACATAAATATAAATTAAATATTTTAGGATATAAACTTAACAAATAGATTTAAACAAATGGTGTATATCTAATACGGTAGATTTTTTTAGAAAACGTATTTTTTGAAACATGGAACAAATAATTTGTTTCAATAATCTACTGGGCCCTAATAATACTATCACCTATCAAGAATGTGTTTTAAGATTATAGTAATTCAGTTGCAGATAGCTGTACTGCAGCTGACGATGTGCAGGTTTGTCATTTTCCATAGGAAGCTTTTAATTTGCTCCTGAATATAAAATCAAACGGTCCTAATTAAGGTCGGCATTAACAAACATATCTTGTTCATTCAGAAAAATGCAGGGCTTCTTTAGCAGGTGACGACATTTGCATCTAATTTTTGCTTGAAAAGGACATCATTAATTAAGTTGCATCTGGAAATGTTCCCTTTGGTTTAGCTAGCTTGGTTCCAAAGAATAGCATGATTGGGCCGGATCAGGACGAGGCTTAGTTCAGATAATCAGGATAAATACGGTTAACTACAATCGATTACGACAAAGTGAAATTTAGGTTCTGGACAGCTGAAAAATATCTAGTAGAAGTACATCAGGACAGTTCCAAAAGTGCAGACATCACAGCAAAAGGAGTCAAAACAAAAGAGAGAAAAAGTAATGCAATTCATAACAACTAAAGCCTGTGTTATAACACTGAATTTTGTTCTACTTCTATCTAGACTTTGACTTGGGTTTCATTTATTTGTTTGAGCAAAGGGAGGCTTGCTCTCTATATTGTAGTTGGACTGATAGCTGATGAGTCATCACCTGCCTAAAATTATACATATTCCAATGATTTAAGGCGATTATATGATCTGGAGAGCGACTGTATGTACTGTCCAGGCAAAGTTCATATCAACATGCCAACCTGATCCCTGCATATATCATCTTCTGTCAGATATTTAGACTGCAAATCATGTTTAATCAGTGTTGCTAGCTACTCAATTAGCTTTCGCCACAACACACAAATACAATCTTACAATCAAAAGAGGCCCATGATGGTAGCCGTTCATCTATCTCACACAAGTGAGCCATGACCTGTAGTCACTTGTCAGTAATACATAGGACAAACTGATGATGAAGGTCGCAGGACTTGTAAAGAAAAGCAAGGCAATTAGCAGGCAGCTGGGGCCATTCGGAGGATAGCTACTTTCCACTTGTAAAATTGTAGATGGAGCAAGATAGATTGCTTGCTTGCTTTTCTAGCTAGATAGCACATGAATGTTGACAAACATTCAGAAAACCTGAACTGAAATGAATACAACATAGCAGATAATACATGGGCATCACATCTCTCATCTCTGATCTCTCTCTCTCATCTGAAATCATTGCAGTTGCAGATGCTAATCTACGGGTTGGTCAGTAATTAATGGCTTGATGTGATATTGCTGCCTTCCAAATGGGACTTGGATCCTAAATATATATAAGGTGTGCCTAAGCAAAGATTTAACCATGATAATAAATTTCCAGTGGATTCATTTTCATGAAAAAAAACTGAATATAATCTCTCCAGAACTCTGAGGTGGGTTTAGCCAACTGCCTCCAACATCTCACTAGAATTATATATGGTAGTATATATATAACACAGGCATCCACATCTTCCTTTTTCTCAAGCTACATCTTCCTTTTTGTCAATCTGATCTAGCATAAGCTAGCACCAATCGCATATCGAATAATAAAAAAAAACAGATGATTACTAACTAATAATACACCCATAGGATCAATTTAATATATTGACATGCCATTAGGCCATATAGGCTGAGGTATCTAGCTAATTAAACGTGTTAGCAACTAACACCACATCTCTCCATCTGATCGATCACCCGATCGCATGCATGTATATATAACCCAAATCCATTCCAGGTTCCAGCACGTAGCAGTAGCTACTACTCGATCGATCTATCGATCCGATTAATAGTGCCATGAAATATCTCTCCATTTGTGGCAGTAAATTAAGTACTAGCTAAGTTAGCTAATGACACTGTTGGTACTTAAAGGCTTAAAAGCTAGCAGCTGTTGAGCTAGCTGTCTCATGAAGCTAGCTTAATTAAGTCTGATTTATATATATATATATGTAGACATCCAGAGAGAGAGAGAGAGAGAGAGAGAGAGAGCCAGAGACAAGCTTAGCAACAACAACCAAAAGCAAGGAGCACTAACTGCAGCTGTTGGCGATCGAATTAAGGATCCTGCAGCTACAAGCAAGAAGGTGCAGGTGCAGGGTGCGGCCATGGCGAACTACCACCACCAGGAGTACTACCAGATGGCGGCGGCGGCAGCGGTGGCGTGGCCGAGGGAGCCGGACAGCCCGCAGCTGAGCATCATGAGCGGCTGCAGCTCCCTCTTCTCCATCTCCACCCTGAGGGACGACGACGACGGCGGCGGCGTCCGCCTCGCCGGCGCCGCGCTGCCCGCCACGCCGGTGTCGCTCGCCGGGATCGCCGGCGGCGCCAGTACCCCCGGCGGCGACGAGGTGGACATGGAGGTGCGGCAGCAGAGCGGCGGCAGCGGCGACGACCGGAGGACCATCCGGATGATGAGGAACCGGGAGTCCGCGCTTCGCTCCAGGGCGCGCAAGAGGGTACGTACGTATATACAATACCAAATACGTATAATTATACGTATCATACTACAGTATTTATGTACGTATGTGTTTATAACGTACGGTATGAATTACTACTGATCATCAACAAATGTTCTCATATGTACTCTCTCCGATCAATATTACTTGTGCTTTCCGACAAAGCAATTCCGTTCTATTAAACGCAGGCCAATTTAATTGTCTGAAACGGCCGGCATGTACTTAATTATGTCCGGAGGGAGTAATTAACATGGAAATTTCTCTTTTCAAAAACTGAATATAATTAGAATTTAATTAAAACTGGATCTTTCACAAAAATAAAATGCTGCTAATAAGTCGATCACTTATAAGGTCATTGTTGGAATGCGATAATTTAATTAATTAGGTTTTCAATAGAAGTTTGTAGCAGGCGAAATTATATAATTTGCACATTGAATTATCAGTAAATTGCAGTCACGTCGTTATTCATCGTTAAGTTTTTGAGCTGAGCTGAACTGGTTAGTTTACACAACTGAATATATATGAACAAATTTCATTACATTTCATAAAGGAGTTAGTCTATATATTTTACATAATATCCTTGATGATGGTGCATGGAGGAGATATCTGTGTGTACCTTGGGCAGATACTGTATGGAGTGAAACTCTCGAGTATAGTGACCAAGTTTGGTCAATTTGTTAAAGAACTAAAAAGTTGATGGAGTGTGTTATCTCTTGCATCATGCATAGGTTCCTGTTGATAATGTTTAGTCAATATGGCCTAAATATGCATATCTCTTCTTTGATTAGTGCCCTTTCTTTTATTACCAGTCTATCATCATCCAAGCAGGCACTTGTGTGATAATTAATATCAAAATTAAGTCAGCTTCACCTAATCCAAGATTCCAAGTCCAGCAGAAAGGGCCCATACCAGAGAGTGTATATATATGTATGATATCCTCGTGGACATGGTGTCTACTTGTCTCTCCATGCATATTGGAAATTTGTGATATATATATATATATCACTAATTAATAGTACATAATAATAAAAAAAGAATGTGCGGAAAAAAAGAATGTGCAATTTGTTAACAATAGTAGTGTAGTCATGGGTATTATATATATTTTCCATCCCTTGTACGCATATATGCCCTTTAGGCCAACTCAATAGATCATCAATAGTAAATATCCCAAATCACTCCTAAAGTTAAGTAGTTAACACAATTACCATCGAAAAAACGAATGTGCAATTATGTTCTTTTCTTGAATGATTTGCTAATTGCTACATGTATCCTCTTTCTTGATTAAACATTAGAGAAAATTGGTGCCCCTGAATTTGTAAGAGTTCCAGATTAAATAGAGACTGTTAACAACGACAAATCGAACCTTCTAAGCAAAAAAGAAATGAACATAATGTCCCAGTTGATATTAACTATATTTGGGTCGATGCATGACACAAGGTATCCCAAAATATAATCACCACGTTAGACTCAGCTTACATCACAATTAACTACTCCTGCCCCCAAGAAAAAGTCTTCCTCGTATGCTTGAGATATTTTAACAGATAGTCTCACGCTAATATATACTTCTCTTGTTAGGTACGGACTAATTAAATAAGCATAAAGAACTTAAGTTGATCGGGACAAGAGGAAAATATGAAAACTAGCTTGGCATTATCTCGACTATCTATCATCTGAATAGGACTGCACTATGAATTAATTGGATCACACCTGCTGCTAGTGAGGAGCTCCTTTTACCGTCTCCATCTAACCTCTCTAGACTCTAGAGGTACTCCATTTCAGAACTAACCATGCATTTGTACCTACCAAAAGGGCAATAAGCATCCCCAAAAAAAAAACAGACTGCCTACTTGTCAATGAATCCAGTTCTGTCATATTAATACGATTCAGATTGTATTAATTGTGAAGTAATTTGTTATGCAGGCGTACGTTGAAGAGCTAGAGAAAGAGGTTCGCCGGCTGGTGGATGACAACTTGAATCTCAAGAAGCAGTGCAAAGAGGTACTCATCACTAATTCAATTCACAAGTGATCTTCACATCACTAATTAATTACTACCACCGTCTCAGAATATAAGAATCTAGAATCGGATGATGCGTTTTCTATTTTTGTCCAGATTCGTAGTGCTAGGAAACATCCCATCTGACCATAGGTTCTTATATTCTGGGATGGAGGTAGTAGTTGATAATAACTCATTACTTTTGAAATGTTGTGATTTGATCATTCATGTGACGAGCACTTGTACTTCTGCTTGGACAGCTGAAACAGGAGGTTGCTGCACTGGTGATGCCTACAAAGAGCTCACTGCGACGAACTTCATCAACTCAATTCTGAAGGTCGACCAAAACAAGCAAGATTATCTGACGATACAAAATCATTAGAAAGATCTAAATTATGTGTATTTGCAATCCGGTGTGCGTTTGTGCAGGGGTCAGGCATGAGAGAGGATATTGTGTGTAGGTGATCGATGGATGCTATGAACTACCTCTGCAGTTAGAAATGTGTTAGATCTTGTCTCTGCAAAGATGAACACCTTTTCTTACTTGTTCAACTCGATCAGCATGCAGTATCCTGTTCAATTTTTTTCCCCTTCAGCCATTCAGAAATTCAGAAGTGGCTATCATGCTTTAATTTTGTTTCAATCAGTAGTAGTATTTGTTATCTTTGAGGGACAGATGGGCTTGTCTCTTGTCAGCATTCACCTTAGCTTTACCTCTTACTAGTATATTTTATCACTGAGTGCGTTTATGCTCATAGGGCATATATATCTTATGTTGGATATAAGTTTTTTTTTTTTTGTCTTGTTTAGTTAAACTGAAGATGCATGGCCGACTGAACATGAGAAAAATATCATTTCGTTTGGAATGTCATGGAAAGCACTTTCTGAATGGCTAACAGGATATAATAAATATCAGCTCTCACCTTTGTCCACTATTGATAGAAAAGGAAAGGCAAGAAGATTGCCTTAATTAACCTAATTGTCATCAAATCAAAGTGGCCGGCTTATCGAGAACCTAGCTTTGTCTAGAAACTTTGCCTTGAAATGAATTGAAAAATCATGCATGCACTTGGCGTGTGATTCTCCTCCTTCCTATTGACAAAATACTTTTCGCCATGTCAACGCCGGAATGATCAGTATACACTATCCATTGATGCAGATTACTGGCGAACAAGAGCAGCAGCTCTTTTCCTTTTAGTTCTTCTTAGCTAGATATGAGAAATTTTCTTGGCCAAACATTGTAGAGTTTAAACAAAATTCTTCGGAACTTACATGCCGGCAAGCAAAGGAACACAACAAAGTTTAGCCTAACTTATATATTGACCGATTAAAATCTGTTATGCATGTTAAGAATTGAGACAGAAATTTAAGCCAAAGAGATTAATCTCTCGTAGAACAGCACGCAAATAACAGACATGACAACAAGGAGCGGTAATTAATTGAGTATACCTGTAGTGGTAGTAGTGGTAATTAATTGAGTATACCTGTACTTGGGCCTAATCGGTGGCGCCTTATGCTGCGTTGTACTCAAGCCCAAAATCAATTGGGCCTTTCCAATTGAGCCAAGCCCGAAAACCTAGAAGATAAGACAGAACATCGGAGACTTTTGATTGGAGCTTCTCTGTCCCGCTGTCCGGAATGGTGCACTGTCAGCTATGTACAAAATATATCTTGAACTCCCTGCTGCAGAAGAGTTCAGAGTTGAGAGGGTATGATCTGCACACTAACATATTATTCCTGTTGCATAGATATTGTTGGATTGTCACTGTGTGTAAGACAAGTATTCTATATATACTATATAATCAGTTTTCTTTGGTAAAAAGTTATACTGTCTTGCTATGCTAGTCGATGAATCTGATGGCGGGCATTGTTCTGAGAATGAACTTAGAAAACACATTCGTTCAAAAAAAAAAAACAGTTTGAGGCAGCGGGGAGCAGATCCAGTTTGAGGGAGGACTCCAAGTGGTGAAAAATTCATCAACTCATTACTTGAAACAAACAGGTTCAAAGAGTTGGATCATTGTTTTGTGTTTAACTCAAAGGCATAAAGACAATTAGTGCCACATAAATAAGCCAACATCCCCTCAAAAAATAAGCCAACATATATTAATGTTATTCACGTCTACTCCTACTTTTATCATCAACCCAAAGTAAGCAACCTGGATAAGATTCTTGTCACAAAACTATATATGCCCAGCAACAGCACAACTCCTTAACCCCCATTCAAGCCAACAAACCACTGATACGATAATATTTGCATCCAGGCAGGCTGCAGTATGATGCATATATGTCACTGGGTTCGCACATTCTACTCGGCGGCTTCTGCATCCTCCTCAGGTCGTCCAACTCTTGTGTCTACATCAAATAAAATAGCTATTATCTCATAAAATGTCCTTGAAGCAAGAATTAGTACTCAAGAGGAAGAGCATTCATGTTGTCCACATTGAGTACAACAGGAAAAGCAAAACCTAAAGCAATATACTACTTTTTCAAGTATGCTTTGGTCAAGTACTACCTTATTATTACTTGCTCTATTCTCTTGTTCTTTTGACATGGTACGAATGCACTTTGATTAATTACTTCATATTTAAATGCATGCTAGCAAAATATATTACACGCATAATGACAAGGAAACAAGAGTGACGACACATTTACTGCTATGAATTTTCACGAAGAACGCAAATAATTTTATGCATTAGTCGTCGACATTTTAGTGGAGGTGTCTTTATTCTGTTAACAGAGTTCAGGTTTTGTTTTTGCAAGTACAGTTAGAAACACAACGTTTGTCTGAAACTCACACAAAACAGTATATTGCATAATGAGTATTGGTACTACTCTGCCAAAAGGACTCTTGGTACTGTTCTGCCCTTGTATCAACATATCAAGCCTATCACCCTAAATAAAGTTACTACATTCTAGTCCTAGTTTGGTCATTCGGACCATCATAAACAAAGAACTATAATGATCAGCCCTAGATCCTTAAATGGCATTTTATTACCCATATGCACATGGCGCTGCATTTGTTCTGGAATACGAGCGGTAATTAAGTACCTGTGGTAGTGTTGAGGCGTTTGGAGATCCCAGTTGCAAGGTAGCATCGCATGGAGTAGAGGGTGTTCTTTTCGGGGTCAAGCTTGGCCACTCCTCGCAGCTCCTTGTTCCTGACGTCAACAGCGACCATCATTCCTCCCGTCTTAGCACCCCTGCCAGCAGCGTTGCCCAAGAGGTAAACAACATCATCATCGATGCAACTCAAGGCCGGGTAACACAAACGCAGGCGACCTAGGGACAAGGAAGAGGTTGCCCCTTGACCTTGAGCCTCCTCCCTGTGTTCATCACCGCTGTTGCTGAGCATGAGGCTATGAAGCAACTCGTAATGGTGACTTGGGTTGGTGTCAAGATGGACTTCACGCGATTCAGCAGTGCAGTCACGGCGCCAGTCGTCCCATGAAGTGACCGGGATAGGCATGCTCCATGTAGTGATTCTCCACGAACCAGGGTGGAACACGGAGCGTCGCCGTGTCGGCTGAGGTTCTCTGCTGCGGCGAACCCATTCAAGGTATGAAGTAGGATCTGCAGAGGTGGAGGTGGGTATGGTGGTGGTCACCGTTCTTGGTGAAACGATCTCCATCTCCAGATACTTGATGGAATCCTTGTGTTGGCTGATGGCGATGTCCCGACAAAAGGACACATCTCCATTGAGGTACATCCTCCAATTGCCCTTGGCCGGCCACGGCAGCGGCATGTCGCGGAGCTTCCTTGGAGACATTTCGTCGAGCACGTCGCAGAGGAGGATGCCGCGCCAGAGATCAACCCAGCCCACGGTGCCCTTCGCACCTCCGAGCGTGATGGTCTTGGTGGTGACGTGGTACAGCTGCCTCTTGGCTGAGTCCGGGATCGGGCACAGCCTGTCCCTCACCGGCTCCTCCACGGACACCTCCTCCGATGTCCAACTCCCAGACGAACAAGAAGATCTGTACAGGCGCAGCGTGGAAGTGAACTCACTCCAGACGTGGAGGGCGGCCACGACGTAGCGGTCGTCGCCGCAGCTGAGTATGGCGAGCTGGTGGTCACCGAGGGTAGGGGGAGGCGGGTTGGGGAGCAGATCCAGTTTCGGAGACGGGGGATCCGGATGGTAGACCAAGTAGTCGTTGTCATGCGGGGCACCAAGCTGATCGATGGGGACTCGGAGGAGGAGGAGGAGCTGGCCGTCGGCGTCGTCGACGGCGGCGGCGATGGCTTTAGGCGCGCCAAGCAGATTGCCATTGAAGGATGGGAGATCGGGGCAGTGGACGGAGAAGTGGGAGAGGGCAGGCGGGGACGCCTCCCACAAAGTCACCTCGATGGGATGGCCGGCGCTCAACCTGCAGCTGGCGGTGGAGGCGTTCTTGAGGGTGGACGTGTAGCCCCGGACGCCGAGCAGGAGGCTGCTGGCCGTCTTCTCCCCGGCGGCGCCGCCAGTCGCGGCCATGGCGTCGAATTAGGGATTTCGATTTTGGGGGTAAGGAAGGGGAATACAACAAACAGACGTAGACGGGTGGAGCGAAGGCTTTTGCCAAGTATTTTTGTACGTTGTCCCAGTATAATGCGCTGCGCAGTCCAATTTCATTTCCTCCCTGTGCGTATTTTTTTACGATTTTCCGGTCCGATTCCTCCATATCGCCCCCTCCCAAATTGCTCCACGTTTTCCGTTTTCATGTCCAGATCATATCATGTCCTAGCAAGTAGAACAAATTTTCTCCTCACATCAGTTCAGGCCCATGTAACCGCCACATTCCAGATCAATTTTACATATATATATATATATATATATATATATATATATATATACATGCTCCCCCTCACATCTATAGATGGCCATATGGCCCGAGGCCCACGGCCCGGCACGAAGCCCGCAATTTTGGCCCGGCCCAAGCACGGCCCGGCCCGACTAGGGTCGTGCCCGTGCCGGCCCGGCCCGACAGCCGGGCCATGCCTGGGCTGCACCCTCGGCACGGTGGGCCGGCCCGGCACGGCCCGATCAAATAAAAAAAATGTAGGGACAAAAAATAGACTTATATAATCGTATATGGCATGGCCCAAGAAAATAGGTATACAAAATAGACTTATTTCCAGCCATTTAAACACAACCCACAGAGCTGAGGGATCAAAAATAGACTTATTTCCAGCCATTTAAACACAGCCACAGAGTTGAGGGATAAAAATAGACTTATTTCCAGCCATTTAAACACAGCCCACGGAATTGAGGGACCAAATATAAACTCTTTATGTGAGGCAGCACAATAGCCCATCGTGCCTTCGGGCCGGCCCGGCACGGCCCGACTAGTATTGGGCCGTGCCTGGGCCGAGTATGCCGCCCGTGGGCTGGCACGGCACGGCCCGGTGCATCGGTCGGGCCGTGCCGGCCCGACAAGCCTCGGCCCAGGCATGGCCGGGCTTGGGCCGTGCCGTGCCGGGCGGCCCAGATGGCCATCTATACTCACATCCTACCGACCTACCCCCACCCCTCCCAACCCACCCCCGTGCACCTCAACCACCGGCGCCCCCTACCCCTCCCAAATTTACTAGTAAATTGTTTACTATCGAATCTACATGCTATAGCTATATATATTAGAAACCGTCCAGCCACTTTCCTCTCCCTGA